ATGTTATCGGGGGAGGATACTAGTGCAAATGAAGGCAGAATCATATTACTGGCATGTTACATGTTATCGGGGGAGGATACTAGTGCAAATGAAGGCCGAATCATATTACTGGCATGTTACATGTTATCGGGGGAGGATACTAGTGCAAATGAAGGCAGAAAGAGATTCAACTTTAAAGAGGCGCACAGAAAATTTTTATTTTATGCAGGCGAGACAATTACTAAAATTGCTACCATTTTTTTTTTAAAATGATCCTCATCCTCTTAGATAATATAATAGTTATAATGATACCGATCATAAACATAAATTATATATATATATATATATATATATATATATATATATATATATATATATATATATATATATATATATATATATATATATATATAAAGAATACAAATCATATGGCGAATAACAACCCTCTCAAGCGTACTGGATCCACCAAGGGATCACGTTTGTCAGGGATTAATTAAAATAGATGCAATAAACTGACGACGAACAGTACGAAACTAGTAACTAACTAGCCTAAGCGCTTTCGACTCTTAATGAGTCTTTTTCAAAGGCAAATACAAAACATAGTTACGACAAACAAATAAACACAAAAACGTTGTGTTTGTAAACCTCTACCTTTCTGTCTTCACATGTGCTAAAACTATAAATACAACCAGCTTGTATAGACTAGTTGCGGAAACTCTGGTTGTATTTATAGTTTTAGCACATGTGAAGACAGAAATGTAGAGGTTTACAAACACAACGTTTTTGTGTTTATTTGTTTGTCGTAACTATGTTTTGTATTTGCCTTTGAAAAAGACTCATTAAGAGTCGAAAGCGCTTAGGCTAGTTAGTTACTAGTTTCGTACTGTTCGTCGTCAGTTTATTGCATCTATATATATATATATATATATATATATATATATATATATATATATATATATATATATATATATATATATGTGTGTGTGTGTGTGTGTGTGAGAGAGAGAGAGAGAGAGAGAGAGAGAGAGAGAGAGAGAAAGTTAATACGACTTATTGCCATTATTAATACCGATAGACTTTAATAACGAATTAAAACTTTCAAAGACTCTCCACCTGTGTTCCTTTACAATCTTAAAAACACTATCATTAAAAAGAAGGTGAAAAGGCTAGTTAAATTTAAATTTTACAATCTCTTCGGCATGAATCCCAAAGCCAGTAAATAATGCTCTCCCGCCTTTGATCAGAAAACGAGACGTCGCTGGGTTAAAGGGCCACAGTTACTGTAAGCGTAATTGACAAATTGGCGTTGAAGTATACGGCTTGCCTGCTGCGTCTTTTTGATAGAGCATAACAAATATCACAACTGGGGTTCCACTAAATCCTGATTACACCAATCTTCTTTACTGTCGTATATACTAGCTTACACGATAAAAAGTCTATTAGAACATGCACATGGGCACAGATCATATAATTTAGGATAAAAGTCTAATGAACACAACAAATTATAACAAATTCGTGGTCAAAGAAAGACTTTTTCATATTTGGTGACTTTGTATATTGAATTTCAAGTTTCTTTCACACTCGGATCCTTTATGAAATACATTCAAAGATCCATGGAATTTAACTGAAAGGAAAACATCCACAGTGTTCCGAATGTATTCAAGTGCCGCACATTAGAAGATGAGGATTGCTTTGTGGTTTCTTTAATTCACAAGAACCTTTGGGTAAAATATAGGATAAATAAAATGAATAATACACGATCATTGCAAATTAGTAAATTTGTTCCCTTCCATTTGATCATATATGAACCAGGTGTTAGGGAAAGGTAAAATAACTCTGTGATCACTTCACGGATTCTAACTATTCATAGCAGGGTGCATTTGGAATTCAATATAAATTTTAAAATTATTTGCTTTTTATTCTCAAAGGGATGAATACCCGAAACAAATTGGATTTAGAAGCAAATTGACTAATGAGGCAATTGCTTTTTACCAAGAAGTCCAGCAGATCTTTCTTTATATTGTTCAAATTGAAAACTTATTCCTCATAACAATCGTTGAGGATTTAGAGTCCTCCATGGGAAACTGTGTAGTACTTCGGCCAACAGATAAAAAGGGCTCTTATTTGTAACTAAGGATAGGGAATGAACTCTGTATCTAGAGTTGTCAGGGCTTTCATGTGTAATGAAGTATAGGAATTGAACTTGGTATCTAGAGTTTTCAGGACTTTTGTGTGTAATGAAGTATAGGGAATGAACTCGGTATCTAGAGTTTTCAGGGCTTTCATGTGAAATGAAGTACAGGGAATTAACTTGGTATCTAGAATTGTCAGAGCCTTCATGTGTAATGAAGTATATGAATTGAACTTGGTATCTAGATTTGTCAGAAATTTGATCTGTAATAAAGTATAGGAATTGAACTTGGTATCTAGAGTTTTCAGGGCTTTCTTGTGTAATGAAGTATAGGGAATGATCTCGGTATCTAGAGTTTTCAGGGCTTTCGTGTGTAATGAAGTATAGGGAATGAACTCGTTATCTAGAGTTTTCAGGGCTTTCATGTATAATGAAGTATATAAATTGAACTTGGTATCTAGACTTTTCAGTGCTTTCGTGTGTAATGAAGTATAGGGAATGAACTTGGTATCTAGAGTTGTCAAGGCTTTCGTGTGTAATGAAGTATAAGGAATGAACTCGGTATCTAGAGTTTTCAGGGCTTTCATGTGTAATGAAGTATATGAATTGAACTTGGTATCTTGAATTTTCAGGGCTTTCGTGTGTAATGAAGTATAGGGAATGAACTTGGTATCTAGAGTTCTCATGGCTTTCGTATGTAATGAAATATAGGGAATGAACTCGTTATCTAGAGTTTTCAGGGCTTTGGTGTGTAATGAAGTATAGGGAATGGACTCGGTATCTATAGTTTTCAGGGCTTTCATGTGTAATGAAATATAGGGAATGAACTCGGTATCTAGAGTTGTTACGGCGTTCATGTGTAATGAAATAAAGGAATTGAACTTGGTATCAAGAGTTGTTAGGACTTTCATGTGTAATGAAGTATATGAATTGAACTTGGTATCTAGAGTTTTTGGAGCTTTTGTGTGTAATGAAGTATAGGGAATGAACTCGGTATCTAGAGTTTTCAGGGTTTTCATGTGTAATGAAGTATATGAATGGAACTTGGTATCTAGAGTTATCAGGGCTTTCATGTGTAATGAAGTACAGGGAATGAGCTTGGTATCTTGATTTGTCAGGGCTTTTATCTGTAATGAAGTACAGGGAATGAACTTGGTATATAGAGTTGTCAGGGCTTTCGTGTGTAAATCGGTATTTATAGTTTTCAGGGTTTTCATGTGTAATGAAATATAGGGAATGAATTCGGCATCGAAAGTTGTCAGGGCTTTCATGTGTAATGAAATATAGGATTTGAACTTGGTATCTAGAGTTGTTAGGACTTTCATGTGAAATGAAGTATAGGGAATGAATGCACTCAGCATCTTGAGTTGTCATGGCGCTGGAAATACAGAAAATTACGTCCCTGAGCTGATTGAAATGTAGATTCGCACATTAATAATAAATTATTGTGTACTCTTTACGTTAACAAGTGCCAAAGTATAGCATTTGTTAATGACTGTCGTTTGTTCTTTAAAAGCACAGCAATACACGTAGGTTATTTAGTGCCGAGGTAATTGGAGCAAAGTGCCTTGCTCAAGGATACAACATGGTAGCTAAGACAGGCTGATTCTGTGGTAGGATTTAAATCCGCACCCTTTAGGTCGCAATTCCGAAACCCCAACCAGAGTCACCATAGCTCCATAAATGTTTCTAATTTGCAAAGTAGTCAGTCCACTTAAGAGCATGTTGCAATGTTTGTTTATTTTTTAAAACGGGTACCATTTGTAAACTTGATGCTAAAATGGGTAAATGTCATTAACAAGTTGCAGTTTTCACTTAAACATGGTGTCAACATTTTACAAAGACACTTTCAATCCATCTTTATGTCAGCAGTCTGATATATTAAGGACGATGTATTTAAATGATTTAATCAGACTGGTACTTTTACAGTTGTCATAGGTCACCGATATTTTCAGGACTTAAACTTCACTGATACCTTGTCATGCTAAATAAAACATGACGACAGATATGTATCCTTTGTTTGGTTTTTACGGCACAGAAACAGGATTAGATTATTTAGTGCCCTGGCAACTGGAATAAAGTGCCTTGCCTAAGGATACATCACGGCTGACATAATCTAGTCCCGACGGTAGAATTTAAGCCAACACCCTTTCGGTTGAGAGTCCATCACGCTAAGTACTGATCCACAGGGGCTATCTGATATACAATATTACTTTTTACCAGACAAAATGTTGCTAACTTACATTTCAAGTGAACATTTAAAGTGTCCCAGCTGCTTCCGACCAACTTTCATAGTGAGCATTTTAAGTGTCCCAGCTGCTTCCGACCAACTTTCATACGATTCATGCTGTTACGATCTATTTATAAAGTACAGAATGTAGAGAAGCTCTGATTGGTTGAAATCTAGTTAGGGCCATGGATTACAAATTATCCACCTCCTTTTATCCAATCAACCAAATTTGCTTTTATGGCGCTCTATGTATGTCTCTATAATGGAGGCTTTGGCGAAAAATATCATTATGCTGATGTAATTTGAGACTGGTATTCAGTTCTTCTTCAAATGGAACTTACATACATTTGTCATGTAAAAAGTAATTCCATACTTTTATTATAAACATCTGCTGGTATTTGTATGTGTATATGTATGTGTGTGTTTGTTTGTGTGTGTGTGAGAGTGTGTTTTAGATTTTTAACATAGCTTTAACAATTTTTCTGTCATATCGCTACAATGTCTGCAGTGTGACAGTTTATAGTATCATGCCACAGATATGTATTATGATGTCCCACCCAGTTACATTATCCTGACACCAGGCTGACCAGTCCTAACTCTAACCTCTTAATACTGAGCGCCAAGCGAGGCAGCTGTTAGTACCATTTTTAAAGTCTGGTATGACTTGGTAGGGGTTCGAACCCACGACCTCCCGCATCCAAGAAAGAACGCTTTAACCACTAAGCCACCGGAGCGATCTTTGTGCTTGTATTTGTATTTGTACCTTCTCGTGTCAACGTATTAATAAAGCTTCACAGTCCCGAAAATACAGGTGATATGGTGAGTCGTACTAATGTCTGACCAGATGACAATCATAAAATATCTGTCTTAAAACTGGAAACGTATGGCATATAGATTACTGATACTTTTAACTTTTAATTCGAATGGCACTAAGACATCAATAGCTATGTATGCAGCTTCAAGTTTCAAACCTTGTCGCTTGCTTTAAATTTGTACAAAGAACCATCTAATACAGAATACATTTTTATATTCGGCTTGACCTATCTCATTATCAAGCCTACATCGGGCACCCTTGGTATAGTTAGTATAAAGAAGAAAAGGACGAGTCAATATTTAAAGGAGAACAGCTTGGGAATTTTTGCTAGAGACTTTTTTGTGTATTTCCGTTTCTGTATTCATTATTTGGTTTATTTTTGTGTTGTGCGCATATTTGTGAGAAAGGAGGCGTTTGGACACGAAACAATGTGTACTACGTTGTGAATTCTGTTGATATGCATATATAATATTTCCACATCTATAATGCATATAATAACAACCCATGACGTTACAACTCTTTGGTTTACCCTAAGGTAAATTGGATTTGTTTCATTAAATCCTGTATATTGTGTGTTGTATTGTTGTTCGTCCTTCGAGTTCGAATGTAACTCTGGCATCATTAACTGGCGTGGTCTCTAGGAAGGCGGTAGCGGCTGATCAAGCCAATTCTGCTCTGAACTGTCCCACTTTTCGGGATACGTTGCCTGGGGTCACATGATCAATAGAGGACGTGCTGCATTTCTGCGATTTACGATGCTCGCGTTTCTGTATTGCCTCTGCAATTTTCCTACAAAGTCTCAGCGATAGCATCACGTGTAGCGATAGTGTGCGAAATCATCCCAAGACTAATGATCACTGGGCCACTGTTGAATAGTTTCATGGACTCTGTTAAATATTTGGGGATGCGTTATCCTCAAACCCTGCTTTTGATCTAAACTTGTCTCATTATTGGCGCTCATAAGTGACTGTTTGACTACGATATTTTATTTATAATGAATATTTTGTTGGTTAGTTGGTTAAATCTATTTTTACGGCGCACCAGCACCGTTAGGCTATTTAGCTCCATATAAAAGGTTATATCTTTGATCGTTTAAAAGTGGTAAAAGGTTTTGTATCGACCAAAATGGTGTACGCTAATGGAGGCAGATGAAAGGTAATTAAAATCACGTGACGGTATATACATCACGTACAACTGTTCAAGGTGATAGCATAAAATCTATAGCTTGTAATAAATAGTTGCTTCCTTCAGGTACTCTATGATGCAAGTCAGATGACTCTAATCAAAGAGTTCTCTAATATAATGCTTAGTGTCGTATTGATCACACGTAGATTGGAGGTCGAAACACTCAAACATAAAGTGCTTAACTGTGAAAGAAATGCACATTGGTGGGTCTTCTCCTTTTAGTATGTGCGAGTGGGTCATGTACGTATGATCAATTCGAATTCTTGCAATCACTACCTCCTCCCTAAGGATGTTTTTGTAGGAAGAAATTCATTCTCTTATGGTTGGCTTGACCGCATGAAATGTGTTATTCACTTAATTATTCCATGGTCCCTGGCATTTCGGGCGTAAAGATTCTTTGATACTAGGTTTAAAATCAGTATACGGTACAGTCGGCTCCACTTAAATGCATATTGCCTAATTGCATAGATCGCTTAAGTGTATAGCGAAATTAATGTCCCGCTTTCCCTATATTAATATGCATAGAAATCAATATCGGATAAATGCATATCAGTTAAATGGATAAATCGTTTAACTGCATACAATTTGCTGATCTCAACCATTGACTTTTTGTGTATTTGACAGAGCATAATTGCATAAGCATGGTCCAGTCATCTACAGTGAAGTAGCCTTGACGGCTGCAGACTGCTATGCCAGAGATCGTATAAAATTGTAGACTGCTGCCCCTGCCAACAGCTGCGTTCATCATTTATGGCGTCACATGTATTAAAATGGCTAGGCACACACATAAGACGTTATCATGTGGAATTGATAAAGAAGTTAGATAATCAAAAAAGTCAGTTGTCGATTGCACAGTTGTTTTGGTCTTAACAAAAGTTCGATATCGAGAATTAAAAATATAAGGAAAAGATTCTTTAAGAGTGCCAGTGTAGCAGCAATCCTAACAGAAAGCGTCAAACGGCAGGAAAAACGGAATATGTCGAGGAAGCCTTGTTGTGATGATTCACCCAGGTGCCTATCAGCGGACCAATGTTGCCAGAAAAAGCCAATGGACTAGCACGGGGCTTAAGCAATGCGGATTTTTTGCAATAAATGGCTGGCTAGAGAGATGGAATGATCGCAATTTTATTAAGTTTAAAAAGCAGCATGAAGAGAAACAAGACGCTGATGATTTCGCTGCTAAACGATGGATAACTGCCATTCTGCCGGACTTGATCAAAGGTTATGAACCAGCTGACATTTTTAATGCTAATGAGACTGGCTTTACTGGAGAGCTATCCCAGATGGAGCACTTTCATTTGAAGGTGCTGATGAAACCGGGGCTAAAGATGCGAAAGATCGCGTGACTCTGCTGCTTGCAGCTAACATGGATGGGAGAGAAAAACTAGAACCATTGATGATCGGCAAAGGTAAAAACCCGCGTTGTTGTAAGAACATTCAGACATTACCGGTGCCATATGAGGAAAACAAAACACGCATAGATGACAGGGAACATATGACAAGAATGGCTTAAGAAAAATCGATAAACAGATACGAAGCAGAAAACGCAAAATTCGCATGTTGTGCGACGATTGTACTACTCAGTGATAATGTTCGCTTGACAAATGTCAAATTATTCCTTCTACCACCTAACACTCCATCATTGATTCAACCGATGGATAAAGGCATCATTGCTAACTTCAAGAAGCAATAGAGATCATTAGTCTTGCATCAAGTTGTTAACATCATCGACAATGGAAGTGAATTGCGAGCTGAAGAATTGGCGAAAAAACCTGAGTTTACTGGATGCCTTGCATATACCGAGAGAGGCGTGGAATTGAATTTCAGGAGTAACCATAGCCAATTGTTATTGATGTGTACGTTTTGTCAAAAACGCAGAGTCCACTAAAGACGTTCCGATGACGACAACACTGACGTTTTTATCCCACCCAACATGACATTGGATGATTTCAATCGCTATGTGGCAGTGGATGGACACCTTCGTCCTGATGACGTAAAAATAGCTGCCGATATCTGTTCAAACTTCCAGCAAGAGGAAAAGGATTCAGATCCAGAGGATGTGGAGGAGTCTATCAACGATTTGTCTGTCACGCCGCCAAACTTTGCTACTGCCATTAAAAGTCTGGAGAGTTAGAGCATTTCTGGAAGAAAATGGGTGGAAATAGTATGATGGATTTTATAACTTGCAGACTATTGTCCATCAGATTACCCAACCCAACTGTGTTCAAAATCATTTACGGACTACTGTACCAAGTATCTTGCAAACCTTTTGCAACACCTTTAATGTCATTTCTTTTTACGTAAACTCGTTACTTTACTGGGAACTAATTTTAGTAGCGACTCGTATACTATAATGTACCAAAGAGCAATACACATTGTCCATAATAATCTTGGCAATAGCAGTTTATAGTGCTTATCTGAATTTACATGTACGTATATTGTAGAATTAAATGTATACATATATATTTAATTCACTGAAATACATTTATACATCATATGAGCTATTTATACATCATATGAGCTATTTATACATCATATGAGCTATTTATACATCATATGAGCTATTTATACATCATATGAGCTTTGTTTGTATGATTTTCTATATTACAAGTACATTGTAAATGCACATGAATTCCGCTTAAATACATACTCAGTTTATGTGCATAGCTTGGGTCTGGTCCCGAAGCTATGTGTAAAAAGTGGAGTTGACTGTAATTTAAAATCAGACAGTTTAATGTATAGGGCCATTCTAAAAGCGCTGTCTACTTTTTCGTTGCCTTTAATACCTATATGGCTGAGTGGCCAACTGTATATTACTATATCGTGGGAGGTACTCAGCTTAGTATTTTTGAAGAGAATATTGATTAAAAATGGGTTCTCAAGTTTTCTGTTATGTAGTGACTGGAGTACTGATAATGATACTTTGTATTGTTCATATTCATATCATGGTTGGATGTAACTTAACTTTGTGACTCTTGTGACGTACTTGTTTAAAAGGTCCATCTGTATGAAATTGGTACGTACGGTGCTGGATTTAGTCCTTCCAATGCCATAAGCGCTGAAAATATCACGGTGTCCCTCCGCTCCTTCTACAAAATATGAAACTCGAACAATGTTAAAATCTGAAGGTGGGAAAATACCAGTTTTGCCATCATTCTAAATAAAAATACTCATACGTGCATAACTCATTCAGTTTTGTAATCAACCATTAATTTAATTTCTTTCTTGTTGCTTCTGATCAAGTGCTTAGTGTGTTTATCCGGTATTGGGTTTGCATGATAATAAGGTAACTTTTAAAATATTTGAGGAAAATGCAGCGGACGACTGTTCGTCAAGATTTTTATTGTTTGATTTAAGAGGATAAAGAATAATACGTCATTTAGAACGACATTGCATGTCGAAAAACTATGTGAATTACATAAGACTACGTTTCCCAAAATATACTAAGGTGGTTTGATTCGGCATATGCCTCTCAAAAATTTAACTATGCGTTGCAAATTTATCTATGATAGTACTTTATGTTTAAATAAAATGATGATTTTTATGTTTGTATGCTTACCAATGTGGTATTATAAACGAACGGTTATGATCTGTTGCTTTTTAATAACTTTGGTGTAGATTCCGACATGATTTCTTTGCACAGCCAATACTAAACTACATTTACATTTCCTGTGCTTGTTGACAAATATTGCGAACACCTTAAAGTGATAACATACATGACAAAAAAAAA